CAAAATTAACAGTTGACCGTGATCTTTATGTCAATCAATGCAATTTAGTTAAAAATCTGATTTTCACTACAAAAATGACCTACTACTCCAAGATAATTGATGAATCTGGTTCTGACAATAAAGTTCTGTTCTCTACTGTTGATAAACTTCTTCATCGCTCTGCAGAATGCAAACTACCATCTTCTCCGTCACCCTCTGAACTTGCAAATACATTTGTAAATTTCTTCAACGACAAGATTGTGAAAATTAGAAATGATTTATCTTCTCGTGTGATGTCCTGTGACTCTGATGTTTTTACTATTTTTGATGAGCCATCAATTAACTGTACTTTTTCTTCGTTTGAACCTGTTACTGCTAAAGATTTATCTGCCATGTGTAAAAACCTTTTTTCAAAGTCCTGCAGCCTCGATCCCGTTCCTGCTTTTTTATTGCGTCAGAATCTTGGTTTGTTGTTGCCTGTCATTTGTAACATTGTAAATAAGTCGTTGTCATCTAGTTCTGTTCCACCGTGCTTGAAAACTGCTGTTCTACGAAGCCTGTTAAAGAAGCCATCCTTAAATAAAGAAATTCTAGCAAATTACCGTCCAATTTCAAATTTAAAAATGGTCTCCAAGGTAATAGAGAAGGTTGTTGCAGTTCAACTAAACAACTACCTCTCAGCCAACTCACTTCATGAACCTTTTCAATCTGGATATAAGCGACATCATAGCTGTGAAACTGCCCTTCTACGTGTTTGTAATGATATTCTTCTCTTCCTTGATAATCGAAATTGCGTCGCCATGTTGCTGCTTGATTTGTCTGCTGCTTTTGACACTGTCGATCATACTATACTTCTCCAGCGTCTTCGCACTAAATTTGGTATTTGTGGCTCTGTTCTAAACTGGTTCAAATCGTATCTATCTGATCGTACTCAATTTGTCTCTGTTGATGGTGTCAAGTCCCATTCTCTCCCTCTTAGTTGTGGTGTACCACAAGGTTCTGTTCTTGGTCCTCTCTTGTACATTCTTTACACGTCACCTGTTGCTGATATCCTTCGTAAACATATGATGTCATATCATATCTATGCTGATGACACTCAGTTATATGTCCCATTCTCCTGCAATGATGACCTGTCCTTCGATGATGCCATGAAAAGAATAAATGATTGCCTCTCTGACATTGACTCCTGGATGTCAATCAATAAACTAAAGCTGAACAAAGATAAAACTGAATTCTTAATTTTTTCTCCAAAATCTAATCCTCAATCTTCAACGCGTAATCTTGTTTTTGGTTCTGAACTAATATATCCTTCAAAAACTGCTAGAAACATTGGTGTTATTTTTGATTCTTCTCTAACCATGGTTCCTCATATAAAAAATACATGCAAGACTGCATTCTTCCACTTAAGAAACATTGCCCGAATCAGAAAATATCTCTCTCTAAAATCGACTGAAATCCTCATACATGCCTTCATCACTTCTAAATTGGATAATTACAACTCTATTTTATATGGTCTACCAAAAAGCATTATTAATCGTCTACAATCTGTGCAAAACGCTTCTGCTCGTCTTATATCTCTCTCCAGGAAACACAACCATATCACTCCTATTTTAATCAACCTTCACTGGCTACCTGTTGAGTTTAGAATCAAGTTTAAAATTCTTCTTCTGGTCTTCAAAGCTTTGTATTCTACTGCTCCTACTTACATCCAAGAACTTGTTCAAAGATATCGTCCTGCCCGTAAACTTCGTTCGTCATCTCAAGTGTTGCTGTCTGTAAAATCGTACAATCTAAAGTCCTGTGGTTATCGTTCGTTTTCTGTTGCT